CAAAAGATTTTTTTGGAGAAAATTCTGACTTTCACATTTTGTAGTACTGATTTTACCAATTTTTCTTGGCTTATCTTTTGACTCCTATAGAATCACAAAAGTGCTTTATATGATTAAATGGGAGGGAAACAGGAAAATAAAGACAGAGTTTAGAGCAGCATGGGCAAACTATGGCCCGCGGGCCGGATCCAGCCCGTTTGAAATGAATAAAACTAAAAAAAAAAAAAAAAAAGACCGTACCCTTTTATGTAATGTTGTTTACTTTGAATTTATATTAGTTCACACAAACACTCCATCCATGCTTTTGTTCCAGCCCTCCAGTCCAGTTTAAGAACCCATTGTGGCCCCCGAGTCAAAAAGTTTGCCCACCCCTGGTTTAGAGTCAAGGTTAGATTGCCACTCAGGAAGGCCTCACTTGATATAGTCTCCCAGCTATTATGATTGTAGCTTTAAAACATCCATGAATTCTCAAAAAGAATGAAAAGGATTAAAACTTCATAGGGATAAAAAGCCAAAATAAAGGTGCTGGGCCAATGAATCTTGACTGATAACTCATAAAAGGTAATTTAAGTAGCAAGTTACTGTTCAGGCAAACTGTCTTTAAAAAGCATTCAATAGGGCCCTGGCTGGTTTGGCTCCGCGGATGGAGCATCAGTCTGACAACTGAAGGGTCCCAGGTTCGATTCCGGTCAAGGGCATGTACCTGGGTTGTGGGCACATCCCCAGTGGGGGGCGTGCAGGAGGCAGCTGAATCGATGTTTCTCTCTCATCGATGTTTCTAACTCTGTATCCCTCTCCCTCTTCTTTCCTCTCTGTAAAGAATCAATAAAATATATTAAAAAAAAAGTATTCAATAGGGAAACATCTAAGATGATGAGTTAAGCAAATATTTAACTCTGGTTTTAGGATGCTGAATAAACATTATGCAGAGCTGTGTTAAACTTCTTGGCAAAACATTACTATCAAGTTTGACATAGCAAGACTACAAAATATTCTAGCTAAATCCAAGTGGCTGGCTTCATTGCTTTCATAAAAATCATCACCCCTGATAAATTCATGTCAGCATATGAAACTCACCACATTCCTTGAACGAAAGTCTCTAATTCCTAGCTTATAATCCATCTAATTACTTCAGATCTATTACTGCCACTCTGAGTGTTCACCTTTTCTTTAAACACCCAGATCCTCTGTCAGCCACTTCTACTAAATGACAACCCGGCTTTTATTTCCCTAGACATACCTTAGGTCTGTCATGATGTCTAGCATACTAAAATCCATTTTAGGATAAATATAAAAGTAAACATTAGGCAGTGGTGGGTCATCAGAGGACCTAGTTTGGAAAATTAGTATAGGACTTTACTAGTAGAAGGTCAGGAGTCCCTACGCTAGAAGGAAGAGATGAATCTTTATCATGTGCCTTCCAGAACACCCAGTACATTCCTACTAGAATCCCTTCTAGATGCTCTTAAATAAATTAATAGGTTACAAATAGGAAGCTTTCCATAGAAGAAATTTTTTTTTCTGAGAAACCTTTTGTTAAAAGGTAAAATATTAAGAAAAAAATAAAAGGGCATCTTTATTTCTGTGAAAATATGCCAAAACCAGCACTGAGGAGGTTGAGGTACCCTTTTTCTAAAATGCTAAAGTAAAAATCCATGTTTCGGCTAGAGGGGATCAATGGGGAAAAAAGGAGACATCTGTAATACTTTCAACAAATAAAGATAAATTAAAAAAGAAGTAGTGTCCTGATATTAAATTGAAACTAACATGGCAGCACCCTTTGTTATCATGATATTTCATGTTCTTAATCTTATTTAGGAAAAAAAAAAGAGTGGGGGAGGGGGTCTAACACTAGCCTTGAAACTTGCTCATCTCCTTATTGTTTAGTGCAGTAACTGTCAGACTCTACTCAAATAAATATAGCAGCTACAGTATTATAAATGTATGGTCCTCAATGCCAGTAACTTGCTACTGTAATATAATAACACGTAACAGCAATTTACACCGACTCATTTGCTATCCAGAGTAGTATAATTAAATTCCAAACTTTTCTTCACATGAAAATCAATTATACCAGCTGCTGGCACTGACATTCTGAAGTCACTCCTACATCACAGAAAACAGCATTCATCATATAGTTAGTGAGCAAGGGCAGGAACAGAAAGGTCGCTGTTCAGTTTCATGGCCATTAAATTCGAACAACCTTCTTTAAAAAATGAAAAAGATCAGGAATTCTACACCAGAAATGCAATAATTAAAACAAAAATCAAAAAGTTATTTGTCTCTTAGTCTTCTATCTTAAAACTCTTAAGTACAAGGTTTCTTGTAATTAAGTTTGACATACTAATTTGTTAGCATAGTAAGCAAAATAAAAATATACTATACATACTTTTTCAAGTTAACCAACCTTAAACTATTAATGTTGAAACTGTAAGAAACCCTAAAAAAGAACTCACTTCAAAGGTAAAGGTTTATATCTAAAAAAATTTTTCCCTTTGTAAAAGGCCTTCCAAATAAATTTAAATTATGGGCTTCACTCTAGCGCAAGTGAAATTAAGTAACTGAAAATTAGGTAAAGCAGGAAATAGGAATAGAACACAGTTCTTCCCTGGGCCCTAAAGTTTCCCACATGAATCTGTGTAACTCCCATTGATAAATGAAGATGTTTTCTCATACTGAGCAAGCACACAACAATCAAGTTTTTACCATCTAGAAAACACTATTTTCTTCTCTTGCCCATGTTCCTGATTACTATATTTAGTAAAATTTCAATGTAAAAAACCCTAAACACCTTGCTTTATAGGTATTTTTTGGAGGAGAGCAGGGAGGGCTGGGAGAAAAAATGTATATACTATACAAATACTACCTCGTGTAAAGAGCTTTGAAACAGTGTTGTAAATTGCATTTCAGACACTTCAATATAATAAACATACAAAATACAGTACTTTCTTAGTTTTCTGGTAGAGGGACAAAAGATTTCATAGCTATTGGAGGACATGGGCTCAGATTTTAGGCTCAAAATACAGTAAGTTGGCAATTAAGAGTAGATTACAGGTAAGGGAGAAACTATAGAGCTAATCCATTTGTTTTCATAAACAGATGGAATTTTGAAAGGTTAACAACAATGCCCATTGAAAACAATCTGTAATACTTATACTCTAAACCAGTGCAAAAAAAAATTAAAATGCAGATTTCATGTGTTACAAAGTGCAAAGCTCCCCTGAAACCAATGTTACTGGTGAACTTGGTACAGCTTAATGGTACTTTTTAATATCTTAAAGTGAAATCAATAAAACAAAAGTTTTGCAAAACTTTCCCCCACATTTCAGTGATTTAACTCATTTAAAATAATCCAAGCCCTAACTTCCTTTGTTACCATAACCCTAATTTTAAAAGGAAAGTTACATGTGATAAAATAGCAAAATTAAAAAAAAAGTATCACATCTTCCTGATTCACTTTAATAAATGAAAATGGGCACCTAAGCAGTATGATTCTTCAATAAACATGATTTATCTCCAAAGAATTTAAATACCTTCTAAATCCTAATCTATTCATGATCATTTCTTAAAGTTCAATTTTATTTTTAATATTTAAGGTCAGATTCATTTAGGATATTAATTTCCTTCATTTTCATTATGATTTTTAAAGACATGCTTTAGACTTGAAAATTACAAAACTTTCCTTCTGAAATTAAGGCTGTATTACTTTGCTCTTTTAAAATCATGTATGTGCCTGCTTCTCCCACTATCTGTGGTAAAAATGTCAAATAGCTTTCCTTTAAAACTGCTTATTGCACTAAAAGAGAGCAAAAACAAATTGTCAGTTCTTAAAATAAACATAATTATATTTCTATAAAAGATGTTGCCAATACAGTTCTATAATTATTAAAGCACTATTCTAATAAATATAAAAGGAAGCTATGCTTCAAAATACATACATATATGTTTATATATATATACACATGTGTATATATATATATATAAAAATATATATATGGAAATCACATTAATGTATGAGAGGCAGCAAGTAAAATAGCAAAAAAAAATTTTTTTTAAAAAACCTCAACCCCTTCTTTTTCTTCATCCAATTTCAGAGGCCTCACCCTACAGAGTTCCAATCATTTAAAATATTTACTCTTCGTAAAAGCTTCAAAAATTTCCATGTATAACTCATAGAAACAGAAGGAGAATACATATCACTCATAGAAAGAGTTATAACTTCTGACAGGGTTTTATATTTATAGCAGCTTTAACAGACTCACTAGAGAAGAAAGAACAGTTTAGGTTGCTACTGCTTATGTATACATTGCACAAACGGCAAATATAAGTTCAGAGCAGGAGGGGACAGACACAGACTCTCATAAAAATACACACACACACACACACACACACACACAATAATTTTGCTTCTTAAGAAAGCAATATCTAGAGTTGAGGACTCAGAATTGTGTATGAATCAAGAGACAGGAGTAGGTGTGCAAAATAAAAACAAAAGTCTAGTTTGCCATGCTTCATATTCAAATGAACCAGATACATGAACATTTGAGTATCACTGGTAGAATTAAGGAAAAAAAAATGTAGGTGATGAGGCAAGTGAGGTGGAGCAAGAAATAAAAGTGGTGGTGAGAGGAAAATAAAAGGGAAAGAAATTTCCCAATGGAATGAACTATAAAATATATACAAAGAACATATATATCTATTATCAATGCAGATCCAGATATATATGCATATGAAGTATACATGTATACACTTAAAGTATACACAGATACTTTACAAGAATACACGAATGCACATTAATTTTGTTGCACACATAATTGTGAGCAATCACTGATTATTCATGTAGGTGTGTTTTTTTAAAACCATTATTCACCTTTTCTTTCTTTCTTTTCCTTTTTTTTTTTTTTTTGCAAAGATAGTTGTGCTGCCAAGCAACTTGAGGTAAAGGCATTAAAAGGGTTACACTACAAGAAAGGGAAAACAAAACAGTGGCGATACTTCCTACAGGAGACCGCACAAAAAAGCAGTTGGCTGGTTTCATATTGCATAATGGTGCTGTGTCCCTTGATAAAGTAAACAATCTTCCTTGTATCAACATAAAAATCAGACCCTGGTCCCCACAGTGTTGGTTTCTGTATGGCTGGAGGCATCCCCACTCAATGGACTCCACTGGAAACATACGGTGTATGTCAATTCATCTTTCAATTGTTCATCTCAGAGAATATTCTTGAACTTTTTAAGCAAAGTACATTGTGCGTAAGGTATCTTGGTGAATCTGTACAGCCTTGGCAAGAGCTTGTGGATCTCGCCCATTGCTCTGTCCTGAAACGTGACTTCCTTCAGCACTGTAAGAGAATTGGCAATGAACACACAAACAAACCCTATCCTGATGTAATAATTCTGAACACTATTATTTGTTGTAGAAAATTTCACAAATATTTTTAGGAATAGAGGCTGGTATAATCTTACATGTCTATCACCCAGCTTCAATAATTAACTCATGGTCAATTTTACTTTTCTCACTTGCTCAGGATTATTTAGAAGCAAATACAAGACATCCTATAATTTTGTTGGTATATATCACTTTTATCATCAACAATCTTTCCCTTGAGTTAATCTGGCAAAGCAAGTAAATCACTGTATCATTCTATTACTAATAAGCCTAGACTGCACATTTTAATGGGAACCCTTACCTCGGGTAGTCAGTTCTGACGCTCACTGCTTTTCATATGACCACTGACTCCTCTAGTAGGTCATGGAACTTTAATTCTAAATGGCAGTTCTTTATGGCAAATAGAGAGCCACATACTTATATGGAACCACATATTTACATGGAAACAAAGAAATGTCCCAAGAAAATCCTAATACGTAGGCCATATGTGAATTTGGGTAAAAATCTGTATTTGTTACGCTTTTATATTACCTGTCATGTTCTTTGTCTACGAGATGATATCTGGCTCTGAATGCCACCAGGTGAGCATAATACGCTGGTGCAGGTATAGAAACAGATCGTGTACAGCGTACATAAGTGTGGCAGAGCTGGTAGGTTAGCAGCTGAAGTTCATCTGCAGTAAAGCAGTTATCATCCCATAAAACATGGTAGTGTGAAGGACGGCTGGTACCCTATAGGGAAGGCAATGACATATTCTGTTGATCTCTAAACTTTTAAATAAATATTTAGCATAGACGAAGTTATACAAAAAGTCAGCTGTCTACAACAGTAAAACATATTCTAATTTAATAATGGACTTAAAAAAACATTTAGTTGGTTCTGGGTGTACATCCAAAAGAAGTGAAAGCAGGGACTTGAACAGTTATTATACACCTATGTTCAAAAGCAGCATTAGCTCAAAGATGGAAGCAACCCAAGTGTCCATTAATAGATGAATGGATAAACAATATGTGGTATATACATTTAATGGAATATTATTATTCAGGCTTAAAAAGGAAGAAAAGTCTGACACATACTACAACATGGATTAACCTTGCTGACATTATGCTGAATGAAATACACCAGTTACAAAAAGACAAATATTATATGATTCACTGATATAAGGTACCTGGAGTAGTCAAATTCATGGAGATAGAAAGTAGAATGGTGAGGCTGGAGAAAGGGGGAATGAGGAGTTAGTGTTTAATAGGGACACAGTGTCAGGAAAGATGAAAAAATTCTTCAGATAGATGGTGATAGAGCTGCATAACAATGTGAATGTAATTAATGCACTGGAATTGTATACTTAAATATGATTAAAATGCTAATTGTATGCTATGTATATTTTACCAATGTAAAAACACCAGAACATTTACTTGAGCTTTTATGTATTAGTTACTATGTTAGGTAATACGGACTCAAAGAAAAAGAAAGTGAAACATTTCCTGTCTTTTGGAAAACATAATTTGTAAAGGACTAGAGGAGACAGAGCATCTACAATTATAAAACAACTAATAAGTGGCTATAAGACGTGGCACTTAATTCTGTATGAGAATACTAAGGCAAGTAATTGTGGAAGTAAGACTTGGTTCTTCACCAAGTGGGGAATGAGTAAGATTTGGCCTTTATGTTGAGGTTAGTGAGAATGAACCACCTTACCGAAAGCACAGGGGGCATAATTCCTGGTGTATTTGGGGAATGGCTACCAGACCAGTATGAACAGAGTCTGGCACAGGAAGGGAAAAAGATGAAGATGAAAAGAACATTTGGAATCAGACTGAATGACATGCTTAAGAATTGCAGCGAAAGCATTATTTTTATTTTTTTTTACAGTTTTTAGGTGTGATGAGATTGGGGTTTTCTAAAAGTAACATCAGCAATAATATGGAGGATGGATTAGAAACGGGAAGAGACTAAAAGCAAAAAGAGCAGTTAGGAGCTGTTGCATTAATTCTGGTGTGAGATAATGAAGGTATGAACTAAGGAAAGGGCAGTGGCAAAGGTGTAAAGGAGAAAGATTAGCTCATACTTTAACAAATATTTGTTTGTTAGACACTGTGCAAGATTTTGGGGATAAAAATGAAATTATTATCAAATATACCCCCCAAATTACAGGTTTATAATGCCTATATAATGTATTATACATTCACACACATTCAATCTTAGGTAATCGCTCACTATATGCCATGTCCTGTATAAAGTGCCAGGCACACAGTAATGAAAAAGACACATTCCAGAAATGAGGCAGGTAATGTATACATAAAATTATCAGAAATTGGGCTATAAGGAGAATTAAAATTTTTGGTTAAGTACACTGGGGAAATAGTCCTGTCTTGAAGATTCATTTGCATTATCAGTAATATCCAAAAGTTCTAAAGTAAAATAATCTTATTTATTTCCAAAATTCATTGAACAGAGAAATCCTTTTTTCTCCTCTGGTATTTATAGCAGTAGTGTTTCTTGATATACATGGTAAATATGTACTCTAATAATATAGATTTTTATCTCTAGAAGGTCCTTTTAACTTTATTTTTAACTACCCTCCATGAAAATGTACATCGATTGTAAAGAGGAGCAGGTATAAGTACATAAATAAATGAGTGGGACAAGAATTTTAAAGCTGTAAGAATGAAACTGGGGTTAGTGTATGTGAGATGTATCCTATCTAATAATAGAGAAACATGGTAATTAACCGTAACTTCGCTACCCTTCCCATAGGCTAATCAGGGTGATATGCAAATTAACTGCCAACCAAGAAGGCGGCCGGCAGCCAGGCAGCTGAAGTGAACAGGAGGCTTACTTGCTCCAGTGATGGAGGAAGGCAAGGTTCCCTGCCTGCCGCTGCCGGCCTCTGAGCTGCAGTCTAAGCAACTATGTTGCAATTATAGAAGCTAAAATAATCCCCAGAAACCTGCTTT